TATATATATATATATATATATATTGCTAGTTAAAAAAGCTATATTATAACATCATTAGGAGAAGAATCCACACGTGATGTTGCTGCAACTTCATACCTAATTCACAACCATAAAGCTGGTAATAATAAGCTGTAAGGAAAGAGACATGAGAAGCCGATGAACTCATCATGCTAGGCTTAAACTTTTTCCTTCAAATTTATTTAATTCGGAAATATTAATTACATCATGAAAAAAAAATAAGAAAGTTAGAGAAATAAAAAATGATATCATAAAGTTTCGCAATTTGATATTATATTATGATTACATTACTTTCAATGAGCTAATCATACTCCATAAAGCAATGAATGCAATCATTTTAGCATAGCTTGATACAACTCAACAAATTAAAAGATTGTTTTTAGGTGAAAGCCATAGATTTATACATGGCCAGGCTTTATTCACTCCTTATTTTTTGGAGTCTTAATTAATTTAATTATTTATTTTTAATTTTTAAGGGATGAGAAGTTGAATTTATTTATTTTAATTCCCAAACTAATCAGTTTATAATTCCCTCAAGAAAAGCTCTGTTTATAATTAAAATTAAGTAAAAAAGTCTCTTTTAGCGCAGGGAGATAATGAAAATTATAGCTCGATATTATTCTTTTATTGACATAAAAAACGGATTTTTTTTAAATGAAAATTTGCAGGGGTTTAGCTGAAAATTTTCTTGCAATTGTGACATAGCTGGAAAGCACTTCAACAATAAAGGCACCTTTGGGGCAGTGGAGCGGCGTTTTGAAAATGCATCTGACATGTTTGGGTAAACTGCGTTTTGACAGCTTATGTGTTTTGAAAAACAGCATTTTCACATCGAACATATCTAGTTGCAGTGGAAGATTTCTGGCAACGGTCTGACTTTTCTAAAAATAAAAATAAAAATTTGTAATGACCATCACACCCAGCTTATCAACAGATTATTCAATAAGTTGCAGCTGCTTAGGATTGTTTGTAATAGCCACCACACCTAGTCTGTTACTGTTGAGAAGTAAAAAAAATAAAACTTTAATTTGCAATAGTAAAAATGTTTTAAGGATATAAATATTTGTGATTTTAACCTCTATAATTATGAGTTTAATAGGACCCATTTGGGGCAGCGGTGACGTTTCTGAAAATACCGCCTAACTGTTTGGTTTGTTCGTTTTTTAAAATGCTATCTGCCTAGTTATGATTTTTTACACTAAAAGCCGGCCGCGAGTCGACCCGGTTTGTTCGTTTTTTAAAATGCTATCTGCCTAGTTTTGATTTTTTACACTAAAAGCCGGCCGCGGGTCGACCCCTTATCCTGAAACGCACAAGCTGCCCCAAACAGACCCTTAATGATTGAAAAATAAAATTTTTAGAACGAAGTCAAATTGAAATATTGCAGCTCTAAATAATTAAACTAAACGCAATTATTATATACGATAAACAAAACCCTAGAATTTGAGTTCCAGCGGCTTTATGTTACCTTCCAGAGCAAGGAACGAAAAAGAGTATTTGTGTAAGAGAGAGAGTGAAGGAAGCAAGAAAATAGCAAAGAAATAACTTGTGGTTTAAATAAAAAGCTTGGTAGGTTATGTATGTATTATAAGCCATTTTAAATGTACACGCGCATAGAATAATGTTGACATAGGATAAAAATAAGTTTTTTTGAAAGTTGAGACTAGTCGGATGGCATGATATCTTAATCTTATACTATTAAATAAATTAATTTAAATTACAAAAGATTTTGTAATGCAAGAAAGGAATCTTGCCATTCACATCAATGAAAATTTGTTGATTTCATTGATAGTGCCACCAAGGAAGCCTAACCACTCGAGGACTACAAACAAGAGGGAGTTTTGAGCACATCTTTAGTAATTTTTATCGAAACTTAAAAAAAAAAATAAGAATTAGGCTCTATTTGGGGCAGCCTATTTGGTGTGGTGTGTTTTGAAAACGCACCCAAGCCCGTTTGAGTAAACTCTATTTTGACTTTTTTTTTTCAAAAAGTTGTGTTTTTAGACCATTAAAATCAACGTTTTCACACCATTCCGAATTAGGTGCGGTGACAGTTTTCTAGCTACGGTCTGGTTTTTCAAAAAAAAAAAAAATTTATAATAGTCATCGCAGAATTTTGAATGGCATATTGTTTTTCAGCAGCTTATTAATAAGGTGCAGTTGCCCCAAATTGACCATTAATAAATATCTTCTCAAGATAAATTGA